GAGCGGCCCCCACCGGAGGGGTAGGCACCGGCCGGAGCCCCGCCCCCCTGGGAGCCCCGCCCCCAACAGCCGCCGGGGGGGGGGACCGCCCCCATGAAGGGCCCGCGGGGGGGGGGGGTTCGCCCCCCCCCCCCCCCCCAGCTGGCCTGGGCCCGGTCCCTGCTCTCTGCCCTCTTCACCCCCCTGTCCTGGGATTGGGACCCTAACTCCCATTCTCCCTGCTGGGGCAGTGTGTGGGGGTCCCCCCCCCCCGAAGCTGGGCTGCCTTTGCAAAGGTTGGTGCGACCTTGTCAAGTGCTTTCCCAGTCCCTGATGCACGGCCCCTCCCAGCCCCTGAGACTCGCAGCCTGACCTTTCTCCCATTTCCCCGCAACCCGTTTCCTGGCCAGCTCACTCTCCTCCCTGACACTTGGCTCCCACCATGGAAAAGATTAGCGCAGCTGCAGGGGCGGCTGCTTTTCAAGGGCCGTTGAGCTCAGCCCCACGGTTCAGCGTTGTTTAAGAACCATCCGTGAGTGTGATTTGAGGGGCGCAGGGATCCTGTCTGGGTGCTCGCAGGGGTCCCCGCACCAGAGACTGGCTTCAAATCGAGAGAAATGGGCGTTGGGTTCTTTACATCTGTCTCCTGCCTTAGGATTCACGTTTTTCCCTGATCCTATGAAGGTTACAAACTTACTCCTACGTTTTTTGCTGGGAAGCTCTCCAGGCGCCGGGACATTTTGCAACATTTGGGGGGGTTTCTTGACTCACGGTAAAATTGCAAGCATTGGCAATGCTGCGATCGTTAATGCCTGTATCCTTGCAACACCCTTGGGAGAGAGGGAACTGCTATTAACTTCATTCTACTGGTGGGGCAGAAGAGAGATTTTCAAAAGTGACCTGCCTGTAAGACACAGAGCAGGGTCTGTCTCTTAACTACGTGTCTGTGCGGTGCCTAGCACAAAGGGGCCCTGATCTCAGGTGCGACTGTAACCCTAAAAATGTCAGGTGTTAGCAAAACAGGAAAGGACCCTGAAGTATCATTTTTATTTTGGGTGTCCTTTAAACCAACAATCTAGCTCCCCACCCCAGCCCACTAATGTGAACTTTCTTGGTTCTAGTCATCTTGGAGTGGAAGAATTTGCTGTCCTAGTGGATTCTTTTTGTGAGCCCTCAGTAAAGCTTCTTGTCTTTTCCCTCTCCTGCAGACATCAGTTTCAAGCTAGATGAGCGAACGGCTCACAGCAGCCTGGATCTCTCCAAAAAAGACACCAGCGTCATTTACCGTATGCTGGGGATTGACCCAACCAAGGTCCCCCAGAACCCCGAGCGATTTCGGGAGTGGGCGGTGGTGCTGGGGGACGCTGCCGTCTCCAGCGGCCAGCACTACTGGGAAGTGACGGTCAAGCGCTCGCAGCAGTTCCGTATCGGCGTGGCTGATGTGGACATTTCCAGGGAAGGGTGCATTGGGCACGACGACCGCTCCTGGGTGTTTGCGTACTCCCACCACAGGTGGTACGTCATGCTGGCCAATGAAACCACCCCCATCCGCAACGTCGGCAACCCCGAGCGCGTGGGGCTGCTGCTGGACTATGAGGGCAAGAAACTCAGCCTGGTGGACGTGGGCAAACAGGTGTTAATCCATACCCTGGCCACGGAGTTCCAGGGGCCCGTGGTGCCCGCGTTTGCTCTCTGGGATGGGGAGCTGCTAACTCATTCTGGGGTGGATGTGCCCAAGAACCTCCAGGACAGTTAACGGTTAATCCCAGGGCCTGGGATGTCTGGACGTGTCCTTCTGTAGGGAGATCCTTCGACGATGCTTCAGCGTGAGGCAGAGAAAGGAATTTGGTCAGTCCCCTCACCCCGCTTAGTCCAGAGGGGGCACTCTCCAGGCAGCTCTAGCTTGCTTTCCCCTTGGGAAGGAGCAGTCCCCTCTCAGCCCCAGCTAGGAACCAACTCCAGCTCTTCTGCTCAGCTAAAGCAGGGTCCTCAGGCCAAGATTCTGCTTGCTACATCTGTGGCTCAACCCTGGAGCAGAGAAGCCCCCCGCTGCCCCTGGGGATCCGGCAATCCTGGACTTGTTTCCCTTCTCCATCTCAGCTGGTCCTTAGGAGCTTTGTGGCCATCTGCCACTCCTGTGCCAAGCGCCCTGCCGGTCCCTGCGCCCGTCCTCACCTAGCGCCCCGTTTGGCAGATTTGGATTTGAATGACATGAGGCTTTGCTGGAGGGAGGGAAGCGTCACTGTTGCCCCCTTCTATCTCAGGGAGGGGAGGACAGTTGGGCGCAACAGCTCTCAGCCAGTCGGTCCTGCGTCTCAGCGTCGGCACCCGAACCCAGCTGGAAACCTAGATGCCGTTCCCCTCCTGTGTCGGCAAACGAGGCCGTTACGCTTCCGTTTCCACAAGTGCTTTATTAATACGCAGCACGGGAACCAGCTCCCTCTTCTCCCACAGCATCCCCCCCAAAGCTGGGCTCACTTCCCCCCACTGTCTAGAACCAATCAGCAGGCCCCAGGGATGGGCAGGCAAACGGATCCTGGTGCCAATGCTGCCACGTGGCTGTTCCTAGGTGCAGGGGGAAAACCCAGGAAGGAGCATTAGTTTGGGCAGGGACATTGGGTCTGTAGCTTTCCTCTCAGCCATGGTTTGTCTGGCTTAGCCGGGGGAGGGGGAAGAGTGCTACCCTCACCCCCCGCCCCATTTGCCTCTGCCCCTTCGCAATCCTCCAGGGCAGGGGTGGCCAACCTGAGGCTGAGAAGGAGCCAGAATTTACCAATGTGCATTGCCAAAGAGCCACCGTAACATGTCAGCAGCCCCCCGTCAGCTCCCCCCTCTGCCCCCAGTGTCTCCCACCTGCCAGCAGCACCGAGCCCTCCATCCCTGCGCCTCCCACCCGCCCCAATGAGCTGTTGTGTGGGGTACAGGAGGCTCGGGGGGGGGGTGAACAAGGGCGCGGCAGGCTCAGGGGGAGGAGTGGGGCTGGGGCCTGGGGCAGAGCCAGGGGTTGAGCAGTGAGCACCCTGTGGCACATTGGAAAGTTGGCGCCTGGAACTCCAGCCCCGGAGTCGGCGCCTATACAAGGAGCCGTATATTAACCTCTGAAGAGCCGCATGTGGCTCCGGAGCCACAGGTTGGCCACCCCTGCTTCAGGGGAAGATCCCATCCCTCAGCAGCCCCAGTGCATCCAGCTGCATTCACACAAACCCAGCCCTGACTGTGTGTATTGGCGGCCGGGTGGGTCTCCCCTGTAATAAACCGGCGAATCCTCAGCGGCGTGCGTCCCCTCTCTCTGCGCCGGTGCCGGGAGGGGACTCCTAGCGAAAACAGCCGCTCCCTAAACAGTGCCCAAACGCAGCCGGGTTGGTCTGTCTGGGCCCCCCACCCGCAGCTTTGCTGATGCTCCTCAATCCCGACCTGCAGCCCCCTGCTAGCCCAGCCCTGGGCTCCCCCCAGCTCTGCCAGTGCCCCTTACTCCCGACCCACATCCCCCTGCCAGCCCAGCCCTGGGCTCCCCCCAGCTCTGCCAGTGCCCCTCACTCCCGACCCACAGCCCCCTGCCAGCCCAGCCCTGGGCTCCCCCACAACTGTGCCAGTGCCCCTCACTCCTGACCCGCAGCCCCTGCTAGCCCAGCCCTGGGCTCCCCTCTGCCAGTGCCCCTCACTCCCGACCCGCAGCCCCTGCTAGCCCA